CCTGCCATCTGACCCCCAGCACACCAACATCTTATAAGTCAAGGTTGTGGGTGTTTTTGGCACTGCCCAAAATCGCTGCCAACCCCTGCTATAGAATCATGTTAAACAGCACACATACAGACTCCACAGCCACTTGATATATAAAATCCATTGCACAAGACTCAGAAATTGCAGTGTCAGATATGCTCTGGGACGATCAAGATACCAAGAGGTTAAATTCCTTGCTTAATATGCACAGAAGTCTACTGGACTAGACACAGGCTTGAAAACATGCTGTGAAACTCAGGATACATCTCTCTCAGCCTTGTCCTCTATTTGTACGCTTTACATAACAGTTGGACCTCAGCATTTACATAGACAGAGGCAACAACTCTGAGTCTATGCCACCAAGACAGTCATGTAGAGACAGTCATGTTTGTCAAAGGGTCTCAAATGATACACACTTCACCCACCCATTAGAACTCCTACCTTTAATTATTTCTGTGGTGACAGAAGTAGAAGAAGTCCTCTCATATCATCACTTGTAAAGGTTTGCTTCAGCTCCACCTTTTGACAACCTCACCCATACAGGGTGGGTAGTCATTTGTGAGTTTGTGCAGCCTTTTGTAAGGTGAATTTTGCCACCAGACAGGGGGAAGCAGGAAGACTTATCATGATTACTTTGTTGGGAAAGGACTCAGTCCTAGGTGCAGAGAAAGATAAAGGTGGCCTTCCAAATATATTTCCACCTAATACCAGCCTGGTTTGCAGATCAAGTACTCAAGCTAACCTCTGTCTTTAAAAACATATTTGATTCTAGGTTGCGTGCTGAATCCCAGATTCACAGGTCACACTCTTGCCCCTACTTCCACCTCTGTAGGCAAGACAGGCGTTTCCTTCTCCAATGGCTGTACTAACCTAAGTGAACCAAGCTATAAGGTCCAACTCTCTGCTGCAGAGCAGACCAAAATCATCCTAGACATAGCTGCAATGAACTTAATGGCATTAGAAATAAACTTAGTCCACTGTACTTCCAAAACTCAAAAAGAATGCAGTGGGATTAGAAAAGGCACAGGGAAGGACAACAAGGATGATCAGGGATATGGAGCAGCTGTCATACCAGAAGAGACCAAAAAGGCTTGAACTGTTCAGCTTAGAAAGAAGATAGCTGAGGGGGATGTGATAACTGCCTATTAGATCATGAAGGGCGCTGATTAAGTTAATAGGGAACTTTAATCACCAAAGTCCCACAATACAAGAACAGGGACCACCTACTGAAAATAAAAGGAGACAGAGCTAAAAATAAACAAAGAGAAGCGTGTTTTTCATGAATCACATAGTAAATTTATAGAACTCGCTACCACAGAGGGGTGTAGCAGCAGGTATAACTAAGTGCAAAAAGGGGGATTAGACAAATCCATGGAGGATAAAGTTATTAAACAGAAAAGTCATGCATGTGCCTTTGATGTCCCTGAACCAATGATGGTAGATGCCAGGAATGGATCACTCTAGACACGCCCTGTTCATATATTCTCCCTCTAAAGCAGGGATGGGGAATGTCGGGCCCGCAGGCCGGATGTGGTTGGCTGGGGACTCCATTTCCCTGCCGCCCCTGCCTGCATGGCTTGTGCCGGTCTCCATGGAGACCACAGCCTTAGCCACACTGGCAGTGTGCACAGCAGAGCAGCGCAGGGGGCTTGCTCCAGAGCTGATGGGATCTTGTGGTGGGGGAAGCTTGCTCCAGAGCCAGGGCAGAGCTGCAATCTGGGGCCTGCATGCTCTGGGCAGGGGCCTGCATGCAAGGGATCGTGGCTCTGCCCTGGCTCCTTGCAGCAGTGACAGCCTGTCTGGAGCCGGGGCAGAGCCACGATCCCCTGCATGCATACCCCTGCCCAGAGCGTGCAGGCCCCAGGTTGCAGCTCTGCCCTGACTCCGGAGCAAGCTGCCCCCGCCACAAGATCCCGGCAGCTCTGGAGCAGCCCCCTGCGCTGCTCTGCCATGCGGTCTGCAGGCATGGCTGGGGCTGGGGTCTCCATGGAGACAGGCACAAGCCACACGGGCACGAGTAGCTGGAAAATGGAGTCCCTGGCTCAGAGGTTCCCCATCCCTGCTCTAAAGCATCTACGACTGTCACCATAGACAGATCTGACCTAGTATGACACTTCCGGGCTTATCTGAAACCTAGCTGCAAAATAACCAGTAAAAGCGAGGGACATGGATTTTCCCCCATACTAACCCAGAGTCCCCAAGCATCAATCCTGGCATCTCCCTTACCTGCAGCAATCTGTGTTCCAGGGTAGCCAGTTCCAAGTACTGGATGTCTTCCCGAGAGACTCGATCCAAACGGTCCCGAACCTCCTTCAGTTTGATTTGCTGGGCTTCAACGTTCTCGCGCGCCTCTCGTACAATCCCTCGTGCTACCATGAACACCTTTTCAGCCTGAACAGGAAAAACCCATAGGCTGCCATTAGCACTGATGTGAACCAATTATCTAGCTTTACCTAATTTTCTGAGGAGTAGATACATTGTTGCTTCTTTTCTGACCTTGAGTTGGTGAGTCCAATTATTTACAATATTACTTTGTTTCAAAGCTACAATCTATGCTTTAGACATGGAACAAACTGAAATTTGTTGGCAGGACACATGCTCTGCCTGCAGTGGACTCTGCCACTGCTCATCTCCACCTCACAGTCCTGTCATCAGCCTTATGGTGTGGGAAGGGAAGGTATTGGTGTGACTGAAATTCCTGGTCCACATTGCTGCAGAATCCTGTGGCCAGCAGCAAGGAGGAATGGTAAATTCAGTGGTGGCTGCACTGACATCTCCCCCCATAGCAGCAGGAAGCTGACAAGGGGACCAAGGCATATGACCCCCCCGCAAGCAGTCAACTCCTGCTCCCAACCCCACTCCATGAGAAACCCTGCCTATCTGGATGCTGCACACTGGCCATGGTGACAGCCCAGGGAAAGACAGTGGCCGGGATGACCCGTCTCCATGAGCTGCATCCTGCCCACAGGCCATGTTTGACAGCTCAACAGGACAACCTACGTCTTTATTTACAGGTTTCTATGTTATTCTCCGAGTATTAACAATGCCAAGCAATTACCTCGGTTACTTTTCCCTGAGCCCCTTGAACTTCATTAAGACCAACAAACTCTTCATATCTGTCCCACCAACTTTTGACTGTTGTGGAGAGTCTTTGGAGAGAGTTTCTTCCCATTACTTTCCCAACTTCTGTTAGCCGATGAAAGAGATTCACCGCCATTTCCACTGGAGTCTTAGTCTCAGGCCTCTTAGACGCTGGAGAGCAGAAAGTCCTCACTACATGTAAACTCATTCTATGGCTCCCCAGTATAGAAGAACGGTGATACTGTGTGCCATAGCGCACTGAGGACATGGTACCATTGTACCTCATTGGACCACGCCTTGAATCCAGCCACTGCAAAGAACCAAAGAAAGAACCAACAGGAAAGGAAGATGTTTCCCTCTTAAACTTACATGCATATAAAGTTGTGTAAATAGCATGCATTTGTTTAAAAGCAAAAATTTCAAATTAACAATGACACAACCACTTGTTACTTATCTATACTATACTTGGAAATTTTCCAGGGGACTCGCCTGAAAGGTTTACGGATGACAGTTCTACCACACATTTTTGCCTTCCTGACATTTGTAAGTGCTCTTATCATGTCTCCCGATTACTAATTTTGTCAATAGGTCTTGAGGCTAGCCGAAAAAGCAGTGCTTGTAGGAACGGTCACAGTGTAGCACAGCACACAAGCACAGAACGATTAACACATGGATTTACCTGCCGATGTTTGCTATACTTCCATACTGGAGCATAGCACCTTTACTGTGTTGCTACTGACGACCCTGAGAAAGAAAGGGGTGGGTGAGAGGGAGAGAAACAAACAACAGGAAAAGGAAGATGGAACATGACCCTGCCCGCCAGAAGTCAAGTACTGATGTGGGGGAAAACAAATGCAGAGCGGGTGGATGTAAAACCACGCAAGTGCAAAACTCGGGACCCTGCAACTTCTCCTGATGAGATTATTTGGAAAAATTAAATCTGGAGATCACGAAGAGCCCCAACAGCGAGTCTGCAATCAAGGCTGCATATTAACAGTGTGAAAACGTCTACTGGTAACAATTCCTGCACCATGTTCTGCCCTGACTTTTCTCTGCAACTGCAGTTTGGTTTGGCCTTCGTTTGGTCGCTGCCCCGCAGCCTCGCCCCTGACGCCCTTGTGCCTCCCCACGCCAAGCCCGAGGCCCAGGCCGAGGCCGCGCGCTCCCTCCAGCGGAGCCCGCAGCTGCGTGGGTCTTTCCAAGTAGGAACGAGGAGCCGCAGCCTGGCTGTAGAGACCAGGTGTAGCTGAGGAACGAGACGTTTCGGCGGGTAACCCGCGGTCCCCGCCCCCCCGGGGGCTGCTGGCGCCTTGCGGGCGATGCCTCAGCCCTCCGCAGCCCAGCGCCGCCTGCTCGTCCCGCAGCCGGAGGCAGCCGGGCGCGCCCGCCTCCCCCGTCCGCAAGCAGCGTGTGGGGGCCAGGGG